AGCTACTTTTGTATCATGACATGTACAGTGTGTTCTACCATATTCCAAAGGCACAAGCTATGACTACTGAAGTGTATTTGTAAGGTTGCATTTTATGGATCAAGGTCAATAATTCATTTATTCAATAATGAACATGGCTAACTATCTCAAATATTTTAGTTTCTCCATTTTTATGGGAGCTCTGCAGGTGATTCATTTACAAAACAAACAACCAACCTTGGCAAACAAGTGATGTGCATGAGACAATTAATTTGGGGGGTGGAGGAGAAGTTAGCTACGTTTTCTAATATTAACTTCTTTAGAAATAGTACAGTGCATCAGCCAAGTGTTTTTAAGAAAAGCTACAGATGAGGCCAAAGAGGGAGGAAAAACAGGGACATGACTCAACTTTATTTAGTACAATGAGTTAATTATTTGGAGAGACGCATTGTGGTGTGAGGAAGATAGTTATTTTGTTTAATTAAAGAAAGGGAATATTTCTTCTAAACAGATAGTTGCTGTGAATAACTTTAGTTATTTTTTAGTTCACATCATATTCTGGTAGTTGAATGTTGGCTTGATTGATGTGGTGTGTTTTGTAGTCATTTTGTTGATACTTTTCATGATATGGAATGGCTTTTATTCTGCTTGTGATATATGAAGCAAAGGCTGTCAACTACTGGATTTATACAGTAATGGCTTGGCTCTTTCCTGTCTGACGTATCTTCTCTCTCTCTATGCCATACTGCTGCAGCTATGGTCAGCAGAGGCACTTCAGCTGGAGTCCCATAGTTATAAAAGACATTGGCAGGGCATTCTCTGTGAGTGCTACAAGAATCAGGAACTTACTCCTCCTCTTGGTCTAAAATGTCCTGTATTTTATGACTTTTTGGGCATACAGCAAAAGATACATTTGATAAGATTTTTGAAGAGAGCTGGAGGTATACTTCCTGAAATGACAATAGGTTGGAAATGAGTTGTTTTTGTAGCTAGCTAGCTAGCTGGCTGGCTGAGAGAGAGTTCTCTTTTGAATGTTTGTTTTACTGCTGGTGAGGATTTGTTTTAGTATTAACTATGTGTTAGGGTGCCCAGAGTCTTGTATAGGTGTCTTTATTATTTAAATCAAAACAAATATTTTATTCTTAATTGATTGCATATACACTCTGGATTTAAAGAACACTTGCATCTTTTGGTTCCAAATTTTAGGCTTTGTTTAAAAAGTTTTAAAAAGTAATATGCTTGTTTTTTATTTCACATAATTGTCTTTCTTGGGTTGCAGAGGTTTAAATGATTGTGTCCTAGTAAGTAAATGTGTTGATGTACGAGACAGAATAGATTCCAACTTACTCAGCCTTAGCTAGGTTGGGTCTGTGGGAATACAAAGGATCTTACTCTGAATATACCAAAAAACAAAACAAAATCTTACCAGAAAGATGCTGTTTTTATGCAGTCACTTTTTAAAACTAGAGTGATGCTATAAAATTGTCCTGTATAAGTTTACACGAAGTGTGGTCAATAATGAATTACTCCTAGTTCAAAACTATACTTTGAGTTACTTTCTGTACAGTGAAGTTGTCAATAACCATAAGACCATAACATGCATGTATATTACAGGGTAGCATGTAACAAAAGTAATACCCATGTTCTGTTTTACTTTTAAATTCTTTGTTCTCAGGTTTTCCAGCACTGAGCTGACTTAGTTGAAAAGAGAATGTTTCAAGTACTAAATAATGTGGATTAAATAATTCAATTCCGCAGCAGGAACAGAAGCAGTAGATAGTTAATTTCACCAGGAACTTGATTAGTAAGGTTATTTTCTCCCACTAATCATAAAAAATAGATTTTCTCTTGGCCCAATTCAAAGCCTACTAGCCAGTGTAAAGTGCGTTAGAAAGTAAAACGGCTGTTACAGAAAGTGTTGGTAGATAATCATAACTTTAACTTTTTTTAGCTTGAGGAGTGGAAACGTGGTTTTTTTCCTCAGATATATCTAATAATTTATTGTACAGCTATATTCTGTTTGTGTTCAGTTCATTACTGTTTGTTCCCTTTTAATGTACACATAGCTAGAAACTTTAAATGCTTCAGTTTTTTTAATCTAGTATATCCTGTACATTACCAATCCATCTGGAATTTGGCATGAAATAGGCAAGAAATATCAAGTCTCCTACCTGTGGCTGAAATGCCTTGCTTCTAAAATCTGTTGGTAGAGCATATGTATACTCTACCACACAAAAACCTAAAAGAACAATGGAGCAACAGTTCTGTGGAAAAGATAATATGTGATCATTTAATTAAACTGTACCATAGTGCATACGTAGAAGAAAGCCAAATTGAGGTTGCACAAGCAACCTTAATTCTGGCATTTCCTAGTTTTTGAGTGCTTGAGTTTACAGTCTAAAAATGTTGTTTTCAGATAGAGAGAGAGTGTGTGTGTGATTTCCTACATTTTTAAAAAGCAAACTGAAAAAACAGATTCCATCATGTGACAACATACTGACACCCACATAGGTCAGCAGCAGGGTTGGGAACCTTTAGATTCACTGCACAGACTTTTGGCACTTGAACTGATAGCAGTAGTAGGTTGTCATCCTCTGTGGACCAACACTAGAAGGGATGGGACGCTTTGCCAGAGAGTTTCACAGATGTTTGCTGATAGTAGAGGAATGGTGAAACTCAAGAATCTTGGGTTCCATTCCCACTCTAGAGGGAAATGTTCTCTGATGGGCACAGACTCTTCTGCCCATTCCTCCAAGCATGACCAAACCTATCCTTGGATCAGTCCAGTCTCTTCCCCACCTCTGGCTCCTTGTTCCCATCTCACTTCTCAGGTTGCTCATTCCAATCCCAGTCTCCTTGCCAACCAGGCCTGCTCTCACCCCTTGCCAACATTTTATACAAAACATATTTAATTGAACATCATTCCACAAATAGAATTTTAGAATGTCTGTGTTCCTAAAACTCCTCATCTAAGTGAGCTACTGCCATCTTTGGTATTAATAAGAGACATGAGCCACAGTGGGCAAACAGGGATCAAGGAGCATTTTCCAGAAGTTACTAAAAGTGGGGCCATCAGCAAAATCTCGCCACCTCATTATATTTGTGTAATCATTACTACAGTGTTTTTGTTTTTAGGATTTTACAAATATCTCTGAAGACAGTAGCATGGTATAATTTTTTTCTTGTCTACTATATAACCATTTTTATGGTTGAAGTATTTATTTTTATGTGCTCTGTTTTTTCATACTGTCTCTTCTGTTCCCTTGAAGTGTTCCTCTGTCAGTCCAGAGCCACTTCTGCCTAAATCTTGCCAATTCCTATCTGGAGAGAAGTATGTAAAAATTTCTCTTTTCTAGGCACTAACTTTGACCTTTTAAAATCCAGGGCTGGAATCTAAATGCCAGTTTTTCTGCCTCCAGCAGCAAACTAGCACCTTCAATAGTTTTTCTCATCTAATCACTTTGAATATTTTTCTTGGGTTCTTCTTTTTTCTGCTGCCTTCTCTCCTGGGTCCCATTCCACACCTGTGGGACCCAGTTTCTGGTCAGCAGTTTCTTCTTCTCCATATTAATTCACAGTCGGTGGTGGGATTCTTCAGTGAGGTGCAACAGCAGTTGTGTGTTGTCTGTTACCAGCTACAAGCATTTCCCAGCTAAAGAGTGGTTTGAGTAGGGTTTGTCAATCTGCCGAGTCTCCAGGTAGTACAGTGCCACTTCTGTTTGATCAGTCTCTGCAATGTAGCTTAGTCTGCTTCCCCTAGTATTCTTTCCACCTGGACTGATCTCCCATTCCTTGAAACAGCAGTGTTCAGTAGGGCTCCAAACTGTATCCCAGACCCCATCAGGTTCCCTCCTGTTGTTGGAACAAATTTTCAACCTGCCAGGTGCAGCAATGCTGAGTCTTTGGTGGGACAGCACTGTTCTCCAAGGTCAACAGAAAGCAGAAGATGCATGAGCTGTTTGGGTCGTCCCTAACACCCCCCCCCCCCGGTGTATCTCACCTTTCTGAGGAGACCTACCAGTCCCTCACACTCTCTTTGTGGAAGCCTCACTCACCTATCCGATCTCCTTTGGGACTTCTGTGGCCTCCTTCAGTAGGTTCAAGAAAATCAAGCAACATGGATCCAAGAAATATGATTTCTTATTTTCAGAAGAAGGAAAAATTGCATTCTTATGATGTTCTCCCTTCCACAAAAAGCACAATTTTTAGGAAGATAAGACAAAGCCTAGTGCACCAGGCTACTGCTAAGGAGACAGATAATGTAGGCATACCCCAAAAGGAATTCCTTCCTATTAAAGAAATCTGAAGAGAAGCTGTCCTTTACTATAGCAGAACATTGGGAAATATTTATGGATTTCTTGTAGTTATGCGCAGAGTGCAAGTGATCAGCATACCTTGTATAAGGTCTAGAAGGACAGTTATGCAGTTTGCCTTGATACACAAGCTGTCCTCTTAAGAGCAAAGCTTTTAAAAGGCTAATCTTGCTAAAAGCACTATCTTTCACAAAGACCTGCTTGATACGTCCCCACAAGTCCCCACCCTGTTCAGATGCTTTTATTCTCCCTGTGTTTTGTTTATGGTAATTTGCATATACCTGATAATAGATGCAAGTGGTATGACCTTGCCTTGTAGCTGCTCTGACTTTTCATATGAGCAGTCCTTAGGGTAAATTAACAGATAAACCAAAGTTGTTTTATTTTCTGCAAAGAATTCATGTAACATAGTATATATACATAGCAATTCAAAAATTTCAGATTGCCAAAATGTTTTAGAAAAATATATCTGGTTATTTGGAAATGCATTCTGTTTACAGAGCACTTACTGCAACAGGCCTCGATCCTGACTGGGCCTACGTACCACCATATGAATAATGTTGCTTATGTACAATGGGGAAGTAAGAATTTTCATTTTGAAATTTAAATCTTTTTCCATGCTAAAGTAATAGTACCTTGGATTTTATTTTACTGTTTGCTGCTGATTCATTTTTAACTAATAATTAGGACTTCTTTTGTTTTAACCAGAAATTATGGAGAAGTCGGGTGAGGAAGGAATGCCTGATCTTGCTCATGTAATGCGCATTTTATCTGCAGAGAATATCCCAAATTTACCACCTGGGGGTGGTCTAGCGGGCAAGTAAGTACAGTGCTGGAACAATTTATGGCTTTTAGTAATTATAATTTTGAATATAAGTACAATACGTTTCTTCATTAACTGAAGACTTGGCTATCTTTAGTAGAGAAGATGTACAAACTTAAGTTACTAAAACATTTAAAATTGCTCAGTTTTTCATACATTAAACTAGTTCACTGTCTGCACTATAGAAAATACAGGCAATGCTTTCTATTCTGCCACTACCAGCCCCCCACTCCATCCCAAATAGGGGGAAAAAACAGACTACTTTGATACATAACATATTGGTTTACCATCCCATACAATTACATGTAAAGATATAAAATTTGGCATATTTTGCTTTTTAGTTCTTTATATTTGTTCACTATCTATAGAAAGTGATAAAATAGAAAATTGAGCAATTTTCATGCTACTCTGAACTTTTGGCTTCAGGGCCCAATGTGTACTTGGGTCAGTGACAGCGTAGCTTGCCTCTTCGAAGAAAAATTGCGCCTATTTTGCTTAACATGTCAGCCTGAAAATTTGAAAGGTAGAAAGTACTTTCCGTTATTAACATTGTGAAATGTTTTTTAAAATTAAAATTAGGAAAAATTGAGATAAGCCTATGGTGGGACACCAGTTTTTTTGTAAGCCTATAGATGGGACACCAGGTTTTTTTGCTAATAATTTTTTTGTGTGACTGGCAGTATGAGCCCAAGAGAGAATTTTAGTGAACTGTTGTTCTGGTTGTTTAAGTCATTATTAAGCCAAGGTACAAACCTGTTTACAATCTTCTACATTGGGATTCCCATACATGGCATCATTTCCCTGCATAAGACTCAAATATACCAATTTTAAAATATATATTTTCACATTTCACAGTTTGTTTATAGTAAGAATTGCAGCTCACCTTAGGAATTCTTAGACTGCTGGGCTAAGCCGAAAGTTTGGATTTATCCCAGAACTACTATAATAACACCTGGGACATTCTGCATGTACGTAGTGGGAATTTCTGAAATGTTCAAGCAACTCTGAAGATGTAGCGGGATAAAAACCTGAGAGGAGAGGAGGGCTGGGAAGCAAAAATTCAGAATAGGGAAACGTCGGTTGCATACAAACCTAAGCCTTGAAAAATCCTTCGTTACCATTAACTGAACTCTTTATATGCAGGGTAGACAAACAGAAGTTTAGACATGAAATATCTCTCTTCATTTGAGTGGTAGGGTGTTCAAATTTGTACGGCATTTTTCTGCTATATTACATTTTTTTTTTCATTTTTAGGCGTAATATTATAGAAGCTGTGTATAACAGGCTGAATCCACACAGAGAGAATGATGGGGTAAGTTTTACTTTGGGGTCTTAGGCTTCACTAATAATGAGGAAACCATAATACTTCAATGCAGGTGGGGTACAGAACAAAATTTAAGTAACCTGTATTTAAGTATGTATGTGTTTAAATATTTGATATATATTTTAATTGTATATCACTGTTCTAGAACTTTATTGTTAAAGGGACAGTGATTTGTGTATGATACCTAGTTCTGATTGATTAATTTTTAATATAAATGACTGCTTCTGCTTTTCATTCAAGACCATGGAGCCACAATATGGGGACTTACTTTAGGAGCTGTTGGTAGTTTAAATGTACTCTGGCTTTGAAGTAAGTAATGAGATTGAAATTTTGTTACGTGCCCTGTACTTGAAAATCTAGTGTCAAATTCTGTGTCCTTGTAAGAATCATATTCATTTAGAAGATTTCTGTTGAGTGTGCACTAAGTGAAAAGGGTCATGGTAGTGATACTGGCTATGCTTTTTTAGCATGTTGCACAGATGATTCCAGTGAAGATTAGTGTATTTCAGTTTTGAAGATCTTTCGTGAAATGGCCTAGAACAGTATAATTTACACTTGAATGAAAGTAACAAATTCTTTGATCATTCCTGATTTAATTTTTTAAATGAATTATTTACACCTATCTGTTCAACTCCTGGACAGTTGAGCTTTCAAATCTTTAAACATTAAATTACACACAAAAAAATACAACACTATGAAATATAGTGGGTTGCTGTAACTGTTTTAAATTACTACGTTACTGGACTGAGTAAGGAATAAATGTGAAATTTACAATTTACACTTTTTTAACATCTGTTTTACAAAGTAATTGTAGCAGTCATTCTATGTCAGTCAGCTCCATAGTGACAGATTGGTTTAGAGACTTCATGTCTAGGAGACTAACAATTTTTTTTTTTACTTGTTTAGAGAGTAACTTTCAAAAAGTGGATAATTACTCATTGCTTCGCAAAATGTTGCCTCTTACCCACAGGGTTCACTCCCTAAGCTAATTTGTAGAGCTGCTACCCTGTTCTCTAAATGGTCCCCAGGAACCATGCATGCATGAGATGCCTAAAAACAATTCAGTTGGCAAGTGAAGGCTCTGGTGAGAGGGTGGGTAGGGATGTCAGATTTTATTTATTTATTTTAACTACTTCGAAATTATTCTGAATCTAGTTGTGCATATAACTAACCTCTGTAATTACATTATCTTATTGTTATCACTGTCTTTCTTGCCTCACTCCATCTACTTCCCTTCTGTTGGCTGTTACCTTGATATGGTGTGTTGTCTTAAGAGTGCATGTGCAATTGCTATGTTGGCAGCTGTATGCCAGCAATAAAGTTACTGTAAAACTTTCTTGTGTAGATATGGCCTTAGATTGCAAGCTCTTCAGGGCAGGAACTGTCTTTCTATGTGTCTTTATAGAGCCTAGCACAGTTGGGGGCCTTGATTCTGATTTGTGCCTTTGTGTGCTATCACAATACAGATAAATAGCTAATGGTTTCATTGTCACATCTGTCTTTTTAAAAATTAAAATTTGTGGTTTGTTATTATTTTTTTGTCTTGGATCATAAAGGTTACAGTTAAATTTTACATCCTTAACCCCTTCAAAGTGTGCCACAGTTCCTTCCAAAGTATCCTCAAACATCTGCTGTTTCCTCAGTCCTGCAAGACAATGCATCCACCCAACCCACCATGACTCCTAACATTTGGAATACTACATTTTCTCTGTGCCTCAGTGTCTTTTTACCCACTTCCAAAAATGGAAATGTTTAGGATTAATTAAAGCACTCAATTCAGAACATTTGCAATGAAAAGAAAAAATCTGGCTCCTCTGTCAGATAATTATAAATGCCTGATGTTGCTGCAGCATATTTGTGACAGAGCAAGACTTTCAAAGGAAAACGCAAAGGACCAAATTGTTATAAATTGTGTAGCTCCACAAAGGTAAAAACCACAGTAAACAAATATGTTAAGCATTCTCTCAGCTACTTAGAATCTCAGGAAATGTCTTGGACCTGCTTCATTAGTGCTTAAATATTATCTATTTGTATTTTATTAAACTAATTGTTTAATTCTTACACAAATGCAGATCTGGCGGGCATAGTAAAAACAAAGGGAGGGCAGGCTTACTATTAAAGGTTATATTTACACTGAATACCGTATTATGCAAAAAGTGTGGACAATACAGTGCAATGCACTTTTTGAGCTATGTAAATATAGTTTTCTTTTCTGCTAGAATTGAATTAAATCCCTATATTAAGGGAAATCTCTGTGATCTTTGAGTATTGGAGGATGGCTGATAGCCCAAGAAGTCACTTAGACCTGAGACTGCAGTTTAATGCATCAGCCACACTAGGTGAAGGATTGGGTTTAATCCTCTGATAGGAATATCTACTTCATTTGGCAACAGCATTATTTCCCTTTTCTGTCCTTGGCTCATATGTCCCAGAAAGACTTAAAGGGAGGAGAAAATTCAGTGCTGCCAGAGCTGACACCTCTTTATAGTACCTCAGTAGAGGAAAGGTACTTACTTTCCTTTCTCGTTAAGAGAGGCTGAGTCTAGTAGTTCATGTGCTGTGCTGAACCTGATAGTCTAGGTCAGTGTTTCGCAACCTTTTTGATACCAGGGACTGGCTTGCTGCCTTCCTAAACTGTGTCAGGCAGGGACGAACTCTGGTCCATGGACCGGTCATTGAGAAACACTGCTCTAGGTCACTGTTAAACTCGCTCCCCTAGCCACTGGACTGTCCTTCAGTCTCTTGAGCTTGATGCTTAGACAAGAAAACTGAAGAAGGAATAATTCCATTATTAGTTAAAATGCTTCTGTTCTTCTCTATATTGTGATAGCATAACTGGAGTGCCCCTGCAAACCTGCGTTCAATCAGATACCAAAGCAGAGGGCTGGATACATACAACACACCCAGTTGGTGGTGGCTTGTAAAGTGTGTTTCAAAATGAAATATCACAATGCTCCCAGTATAAGTCATGTTATAGCAAAAGCAGAGCTTTATATTAAAAATTATGGGCCAGATCCACAGCTAGTGTTAATTTGCACAGTCTGGAGCTGCACTGATTTTACACTGCTGAGAGTCTGACCCTATTTTGGTGAACTGTGTTCTTACATATACTAAGAAAAATGTTTACATCTGTTTAATATTTTTCTATATGCAATATTGCTGTAACAGTCTTTGAAACTCCTTCCTTATGACAACATTCAGAAATCTTCAATCATTCATTCAGTGATACGTAATATATTTATCAACATTCCATATAATTAATTTGTACTGTATTGATAGTCATTATATATAGATGTGATTTGCATTGCATATTTTAATGTACAGTCAACAAAATATATGGTGTGGGATAAAACCTGAACTGATGAAATTATAAAGTAAAAGGTATTTATATGAATTATTGCAGTTGAGCGGATGTCTAGGTTGTAACAATATACTGTAGTGTGAACAGCTTAAATAAAAAAAAAGTAATCTTCATTTGATGACAGTGATCTTTATAGCTTGATGAATCAAGAATTTTCAGAAAGCATCTTTTATCGATTATTTTTTTCAGAATACAAATTTATTTATATTTCTCACAAGTATAAAGGCTTTTATTTAAATTGTAGTCAAGCTCAAGAATTTTGTCCTCGGGTGTAGTGCACTTTCTGTGGTAACTGTTTAATTTCTGAAATATATTTCTGTTATATAATAACTTAGGAGCAAATCCTTAACACAGTGCACAGCCTATATATGCTTGCACTGTACTGGAAGAGATCTGTGGAGGAAGGAATCCTCCCTGTAATGTTGCAGAGTTGTTTTGTGGGTAGTATTGGAGCCTCCAAGATGCAGTAGTCACTGGGCTCCTGTGCGCTCTTACATGGTGTGGAGTGGAGTAATTAGGAGCTCTGGCTCATCACTGATCCCTAGAGGCATGTCTGGTTACCAGGAACCCCTGTATATCACTCTTGTGTAGTAATTCCACCATTTCTGCTGTAGACAAGGATCCCCATAGATAGGAAGGCGGAGACGAGATCTGCTCCTTAATAGCGCTATAAATGTATGTGGTGCTATATAGTGCTCAGTGCCCAACATGTAATAGACCCTTGCACCAAAAGATTTGCCATCTAAATGAATAGTATAATGTAGTTCTCCTAACTTGCATTTGATTTTCTCAATGCTGTAGCTAAAGGATTTAAAATGGAAACAACTTATAAAAAATATTTGAAGAGGGTTACAGTACTACCAGAAAAAATCATTAGAGGCTAGCTAAAATGTAATAGGAAGAGTAGTTATTTTATTAATTTAAAAAAGAGGTTGGATTGTTCTCAGATACTCTCTTTTTTTTTAAATGGCTGTATTTTTCAGTTCTTCTTTATACTTACACTATGTACTGATTCGGGCGCAGTCTACACTAGATTGATGTAGCTACAGCATTCTGGGGTGTGAAAAATCCACACCTGAGTGACATAGCTATGCCTGATGTAGATGCTGCTAGATTGATTGAAGAATGTGTTTGTCAGCCTAGCTTATCATCGCTTGGGTAGGTGGTATTCCTACCATAATGAAAAAACCCCTTCCGTCTCTGTAGGCTTCATTTACACTACAGGGTTGTGCTAACATAGCTATTGCACTGTATCTGTGTTCCTATAGTCCCTTATTGTAGCCATGGCTTGGGCCATTGCAGCTGGCTTCCCTTGAATGTAGAAATGTGAACTGTCAGTACTAGCCACCTGGGGAAAGTGTTTCAAATTTCACAGGACAGGAAGCCTCAGTGGAGTTTCAAATATTAACATTTTGTGTTCTCTGAAATAAAGATATTTTACAGTTTTATATTCAATAACAACAAATTTTGAAAATGACACCCACACTTCAAAACCAAGTTATTCGATTATTGGAATTGAAGGGTAGAAAAGAGATAATATGTTATGGCAGCCAATATTTTCATGAACCCCTTAGAATTAGATATCGTTCAACATTTGTAAGGTTAGGATTCCAAGTTTTCAGATAGCTTACAATGTTGATTACAGCTCTGAAAGCTCTCAAGAATAGGGGCCTCTAAAATCAGATCAGAATTGAAGGAGGCAGTAGGAAAGCATGAATGGCAATCAGGATGATTTGCCTTTAATGTCATTTGTAGTGAGACTCACCAGCCTTTCAGTGATATCTAGCTACTATTTTTAGCGTGATAGTTTGTGAGGCATCAATAATTAAAATATCTTCTGGTCCCTCAAAGCAACAGAGTTGTTTTGGCACTGATCCAGAACTTAAAATAGCCAGTTTGGACCTCAGATCCATGCAACTTTTTACCCTCGCAAAGGCACACTAATCACCATCACAGACTAAGAAGAGGTTTTTTTGGTTTGCTTTGCCCATTTGGTTGAAGTGGTCTGCAACACTTCTGCAGCTTAGGTGGAGGGAGGATTCCTTCCCACATCTTAGGTCACAATTCAAGATGGGTGCCTAAATTTAGGTTGTTGGCTTTGGCTTTAGCTAGATATTCTGGATATTCATTTTTCTGACAGCATCTTGGGAAGAAGAATTGCTAGATCATTGGAGTTTTTGTGAAACAGTATCTTTGTGATGCTGATTGGCAATAGCTTGGCCCTCTACCCGCTGCATTGTACACATGAAGAAAATCAGATTTCAAATGTCAAAGGATTTTTATTTTGCAATGCTTATCAATTAAGTGAATTCTGATACTACAGCATCCATTGTTGGCAGTTAACATTTTTTAATTAAGCTGTTCACATAGGGTGTATATTGCTACTGAATCAGTAGTACTTTACATTTTAAAATATTGACTCAGTGGCTAGTGTAAATTTAAATGGCCGAGTTCTTCATTCTTTGGCTTTCACTGAAGTCAGTGACAGTTGGCTTTCACTGAAGTCAACCAGACAGCTATGTGCATCAAAGGACATAGTTTGAACTAAAGGCCAGTTTATTCCGGGGTCATCTTTTTGATATTGTTCTTTGTGCCTTGCATAAAGTAGATTGAAATGTTTGTCAATACTGTAAGTCATAATCGAGGCAATTTACAGACAAGGTATTTTCTTAAATGCCCATTCTAAAATAAATAAATAAACATGGATCAAATAACTTAATTTTAGGATGCATGTTGCTAACTTAAGGTATTTTTATATATACATAGGAGAGCATAAAGCTCAGATCTTTTCCTCAATCAGAAATTACTTTTTATGTAATGTATTTTAAAATATATGTATCATTCTAAAATATCCTAGTTTAACTACTGATTTTGGGGTCTTGAATCTTAAAAAAAGGACCCTGGCGAACCCGAGGAAAGTGGAACACAGGGGAAATTGGTGGAAGCTCTCAGGCAAATGAGAATTAATCATAGGGGCAACTACCGCCACCTTCTGGAGGAGATGCTGACTAGTTACAGGCTAGCTAAAATACAGGGAGAAGAGTGCACTGCTGAACCAGCTACAGCATCTACTTCTGATAATCTTGCTGGACCCAGTGACCCAGTGGCAGACACCCAAACAGAATCTGAGAATCATCTTGCTGAAATGCAGAGCTCTAATGAAGATTCAGGGAGAAATGAGATGAGTGATAAACAGGTGTAATGTCTTTGTGTTTCGCACAGTCGATTTGATAGCTTGACCTAGCTGTTCTAATGTATTCATATGTCAGCACATTGTTGCATCAGTTCTAAAAAGTTAGTTTGTTTGTACCTACATTTATATGTACAGACTTTTTATATGAAAAATCATCCTTTTTTGAGTAATTTAAAAATTACTATTTACTGTAGTTTGGATTAATAAACAAAATGTAATTACGTTTTATATTATGTGAAGCAGGACATCTACATTTACTGGTAGTTGGTAGTCTTAAGGTTTTACTTTTTTTAAAACCCTGTGACGCCAGTGATAGGAATTTTTGACAGATGCAAAAGTGAGTTTTTCTTTGTGTTGTAAGCGCATTCCTAGTGAATGCTGAATTTTAATACTTTACATTACATATATTAATTGGCATCTTAGTCAAATACACCTTTTGTTCAAATTTATTAATTGAATTATTTCACAGCATAATATCCTACATATTGCATGTTTTTTTTTGAATTGTATATAGTTCACATTATCATAGTTACAAAAATAATTATTCACTTGTTTTAGGATTTGTTATGCCACTTTTGTTTTCCTCACTGTATGGTCCTTTCAATTTAGACTGTATCCTCTGTTCAGTGTGAATATCTTACTTATTTTCTAGAGAACTGTATCCTTCACTATACCATAGGTTATAGCATAATGTATATCAGACAATAATATGTACTTAGAATTAGTGTTTAGTGTGAAGCTCTAAAAATTTGTTTACATCCAAATAAAAAATATGATGTGGAATAATATCTGTATGCATATTGACTTTATTTAAGTAATTTTGTTGATATGATGCTACCTCAAGCTTTTTGGAAGTTCATTTGAAATACTAATTATTTAGTCAAGGTTTGGAAATATTTGTAGCTACTGTTAATAACAGACAACAAAGATCGTGACACTGTTTATTAAACTAGCTATTCCTACAAATATGCTGGGAGTTTTTATTATCATAACTCTAATCTGTGTTCTAGCAATATTTCATAGTTTTAAATTAAACACTGCAATAAAATTGAGGTAAACGTGCTGTTGTATTTTAGGTTCTATTCCACCTTTTTTGTGATATTCCTCTTCATTGTGTGTACACACATGCACATACACACATTTAAGTAGATTCGTGTATTACTATGTTACTGTGAATCTAACTGCCTGTAGTTTATTTCTGAAATGCCATTGTCAAAAGTATGCCATTGTCAGCAGTGACAAAGGTATTTTGTCACAGTTCCTATTATATATTTGGTTGCAGTTATTGAAGCACTTGCACAAAATTATAGCTTTTATCATCCAGCAAAGGTGTAAATAAAAGTTCACTACCTCAGTGAGTAAGATCCTGTGGGAACCTCTTGCTAAATTTGGATTATCTTTCAAGAGTTCAGAAATCTCCCTTAGTGTTTCACAGATTTTTATGGGTTTTGTTTTGTTTTGTTTTTTTAAAGTAGTGGTTAGCTGATGGATTGATGGAATAATACACTAGGTGATTTGTTTAGGATTTTATTTATATTCATTTGCAGTGCATTATTTTTATTGCATTCATATGTTCTGTAAGAGAAAAGCATAGCTAAGCTTTTAATCAGTTAATCATGCTGCTTCCAGAGATGCATTCCAGAGATTCTGGGGACAGAGATATATATGGAAAAAGGGATTTTGTGTATGTGTGTAAATTAGTATAGAAAACGTGGCCATTCCTTTCATTCTTTACTTGCTCGTTTTCCACTTTATTATGTTGTTCAAATTCAATTAATTATGGATGTAGTTTTTTGTATTGGTGAGTATTAATATTTTTCCTCTTCTTTTCCTGTAGGGTGCTGGAGATCTAGAAGATCCGTGGTAGCCTTACAAATCTACTAAAATGCTTTTGATTCTGGGGGAAAAAACTTAATCAGTTTTCTTCAATACAAGGGAAAAAATTTGGTGGATTTCCAACATTTTGTGAAATGGGCAGAAAGATATTAGAGTTTTCCATCACTTGTTTATTTTTGTGTTTTCTGATATTGCCACTCTTAGCATTGCCTGTATTACAGTATCTTTACCAGCCTCAGGCATACTGACTCCATCTTTGTTGAACTTTTAGCCCTAAAAACCAAGGAAAAAGTGATTCTTTTAGCAGATCAATATATGTACCTGAGGTGCATGGGATTGTAGTTGTACTCTGAAGATACATTATGGTTTAACAAAACTTAACATATAAGCATGAAAGAGTACAAATAATTGTATGAGACATTACTTATTTCACTTTACCAAGTTGGAAGGCTTTTGCAGCTCTGTGGCTTGGAAGTAATTTCAGTTGGGCAATATGGAATAGGATTTGTATTTTTTTTTTTTTTTTTTTTTAAATTTCCAGTTTTACCTGTATTACCAGACTGTTAGGTTTCCCTACAGTGTCCAAATTGTGATATGTTGCCTACTGCTTGCTTGATGATAAATGTATTTGGCAATAATAGAAGAAGATTTTAGGCGTCTAAAACTAATAAGAATTTTACGCACGTGTACAACACATCCTTAAACTCTTTCTAGGAAAAAAAAACTTTTAAAACGAAACCGATTAATTTATGGTTAGATGTAACTTAATTTGACATCTCACTCACTGCTGCAGGTTTTTTTTAAATGCTGAAAATTTGCCTTTATTATAATGTAAAATGTGATTTTTGTTCCACATGTGGTTTTCTATAGTTTCCTCTAATTTTTCATCTTAAGATACAGACAGAAGTCTTGTGTAATATGAATATAATTTTTAATTGTTTGCATTATTTTCAAAGCTCAAATTTATCACTTTGAGATTACTATAAATACAGTTAAAATTATCTATTTTAAATCTAAGAAAATATTAGAGATATTTTCATGGGTTCAGTGACCTTTCATTTTATAAACAATGGGCATGGTACAGAGTGGCTGTCATGTAAGGTACTTGAAGATTCTTAGTTTAATTCTATTTTTGCAATAACCTTGATTTTTTTTCTGAATTCTTTTGAGTTGTGCATGTATTGAGTCCAGTAGATGCTAAAAACGGAGAAGAGTAAAGTATTTATCTAAAAAAAAAAAAAAAGCTATTGGGGAGGGGAAACAATGAATGTATCCATCTGTACATGCTTTACATGCTGTGGATGCCTTGTAAACATTTTCCTATTTGTTTAAACTGTGTTTCAGCGAGGATGTAATTGCCCTTGTGTGTAGTTTAAGCTAATGACAGTCATCAACTGGTTTTGTGTGAAATGGAATTCATGCTATTTTTCTGTAACTTTATCCCCATGCTGAGTCTGTAAACACACACACACACACTCACTGGTGCCTATGGGCAGCTTTCCCAATCATTTTGATTCATTGTGTATCTGATTTTTTTTTGTTTTGTTTTGTTTTTTGTTCTAGAGAGGATTATTGCCACAATATATTTTATTTATTCATTAGATTTTAGCCTTGTAAGTTAAATTGTTCTAAATGATGATGTTAACAGATATTTGTCCCTTTGCTGGGTTTTTGGGGTTGTTAAAAGATAGGGAATGAAGAATGCAAAATGGTTTATTGTTCAGACTGTCCTCTCTGGTCCAACCCTGTACTGATAGTACCTTCCCAGTATGATATTGTGATGTTTCATACAATACAGTGAACATAACCAACTTGTTATCTTCAATAAAGGATTGCTAAAACTGTGTGATACACTGCTATTTTGTGTAGAAAGGATTTATTCCGAAAAGGTAGAAAGTTTGATTATCTTTGCTTTTGTGTAATTTTAAATATTCACTTTTGGTTTTGCTGCCTATATATGTATATTGACAATGACAAGACTTCAGGGTTAGTCCTTTGGTGACATACAAAACCAAAAATCTCTGAATAGGTACTTCTGTCACAGAATGGTACAAACAGTGGGATGAATTTGGCTTTGTAACTGCCATCAAGCTTTCACCTTAGTTTAGTTGTAATTTTACCTATTATTCTAGAGTTTGGAGAGTGTGAAATCAAGTCTGATAAGAACATCAGATGGAGTTTAAAAACAAAAAAAAGTGATCAGGATTTGAATTTTAGCCATAAATTCATGGAAGATCCCCAGCTGCATCTGCAAAATTGAGACAAACTGTCCAAATGTAACAGCTTGACAATCTCAGGCTAAATCTGTGGCTTCCAACAGTGGTTTAATACTTTCTGGTGAAGTACTAGGTAGAAGTTACTCTCTAGCAATAAAAATAAAAAATCTCCACAAAGATGTTACAGGTAAATAGTAATTAATTTTGGCCACCTATTAAATGTTTACACTGTAGTGGAATGGTGTGGGAGAGGGTGAGAATAACAAGACGACAATTTTGTTATTTCAGATGCAGAGCTTGTTGTAATTGCATGGATGAAGTTTTAGTCTGGAACACAGATACCTGCATCTCATCATTGTCAAATCAGAAGCCATTTTATCTGATGCCAGATTTGGCCCATTTGTGCAGACTTCTGGCTGTCACAATAATCAGGGCCATTTTTCTCAGAAGAGATCTTAATCCTTTCCAGCAGTTTCCCAGGTTGAGATTCTAAAACAGGCGTTTCACATAAATTTCAAATCCTGAACTTAGTCAGGAAAAAGTGCAGCCATAGTGTTCATGAATGGCTCTTAGCATGACCCGGATTCTGGGCCAGAAAACATTTAATTTTATAAGCTTTGTTTTATTTTATTTTGGTCAGATCTGTTTGTAGAATGCAATCTTTGTCCTGAACAATTGATTAACTAGCAATTTTAATTCCTTTTTACATTGCAGTAGGAAAACTTGCATTTCTTCTGATAGGCCCCATTTCTGCAGTGACTTATATTTATACTTAACAATGTATTGTGAATAGCCTTATTGAAGTCAATAGGACTACTCAGTTTCTGTAAAGTAAAGCATGTGTAGAAGGCTTTGCAAGACAGTGCGTTAGTCCATACAACTACTTCACAAATGTAAAATAGGTCGTCCTTTCCCTCAGATACAGATGTTTATGCATCTGCTTTTTCAGGAATTATGCCATTAGACGTTCTTGTGCTTTTGGTTGTTGGGTTTAATGTGTGCTTGCTGGTTGGTGGCAGAAGATTAGATGATCTGGGGTCCTTTCTGGCTTTAAGCTCTGACTGTGACTTGGACACCAGATATGTTTTGTCACTAGGGCTGTCAAGTAATCGCAGTTAACTCACACGATTAACTGAAAAATTTAATCGTGATTAATTGCACTGTTAAACAATAGAATACCAATTGAAATGTATTAAATATTTTTGGATGTTTTTCTACATTTTCAAATATATTGATTTCTGTTATAACACAGAATACAAAGTGTACACTGCTCACTTTGTATTATTTGTTTTGATTACAAATATTTGCACTGTCAAAATTATAAACAAGAGAAATAGTATTTTTCAATTCATTTCATACAAGTACCATAATGCAGTCTCTGTATCCTGAAAGTGCAATTTACAAATATAGATTATTTTTTTTTGTTATATAACTGCAGTCAAAAACAAAACAATGTAAAACTTTAGAGACTACAAGTCCACTCGGTCCTACTTCTTGTTCAGCCAATCTCTAAGACAAGTTTGTTTACATTTACGGGAGATACTGCTGCCTACTTCTTATTTACAATGTCACCTAACAGTGAGAATAGGTGGTCGCATGGCACTTTTGTAGCCAACGTAGCAAGGTATTTACATGCCAGATACACTAAATATTTTTATGCCCCTTCATGCTTTGGCCACCATTCCAGAGGACATGCTTCCATGCAGATGATGCTCCTTTAAAAAAAAAAAAAATACATTAATTAAATTTCTGACTGAACTCTTTGGGGGAGAGTTGTATGTCCCCTGTTCTGTTTTTCCCGCATTCTGCCATATATTTCATGTTGTAGAAGTCTTGGATGATGACCCAGCACATGTTTGTTTTAAGAACATTTTCACTGCAGTTTTGACAAAATGCAAAGAAGGTACCAATGTGAGATTTCTAAAGATAGCTACAGCACTTGACCCAAGGTTTAAGAATCTGAAGTGCCCTCCAAAATCTGAGGGATGAGGTGTGAAGCATGCTTTCAGAACATGAACCACCAAAAAAGAAAATCAGCCTTCTGCTGGTGACATCTGACTCAGATGATAAAAATGAACATGCATTGGTCCGCTCTGCTTTGGATCGTTATTGAGCGGGACCCATCATCAGCATGGATGCATGTCCTCTGGAATGGTGGTTGAAGCATGAAGAGACATATGAATCTTTAGTACATCTGGCATGTAAATATCTTGCAAAGCCAGCTACAACAGTGTCATGCAAACGCCTATTCTCACTTTCAGGTGACATTTTAAACAAGAAGCATCTTCTGCAAATTGTAGCCAAACTTGTTTGTCTGAGTGATTGGCTAAAGAAGAAGGACTGAGTGGACTCGTAGGCTCTAAAGTTGTACATCGTTTTGTTTTTTAATGCAGTTATTTTTTTCGTACATGATTCTACATTTGTAAGTTGAACTTTCATGGTAAAGAGAATGCACTACAGTATTTGTATTAGGTGAATTGAAAAATACTTTTTTGTTTTTACTGTACAAATATTCTTAATCCAAAATATAAAGTGAGCACTGTACACTTTGTACTGTGTTGTAATTGAAATCAATATATTTGAAAATGTAGAAAAGATCCAAAAATATTTAAATAAATGGTATTCTATTGTTTAACTGCTCAATTAATTGCATGATTAATCAAGATTAATTTTTTAAATCACACGATTAATCGCTATTTTTAAATCACTTTACAGCCTATTTATCACACCTCAGCATACCCAGAATTATTCTTTAAGTGAACATGCCTCTAAAGTGGTTGTGATCTCAAAATAACTTTGATTTTTCTTTTATAGTGTTATAGTAGTTGGAAAACATGCTCATCTTTGACTTCCACCTTGGTGTGAAAAAAAGCTAGAGGTCTGACATTGCTTACTCTAATCACTAATTTGTTCATTTATTCAATCTAAAGCTGTGTTGGGCAGATAACTAACAAATGTGATTTTTATTGTATTCTTCTAACAATACCATAATGGAAATATCCTGAGACAAGGATGAAGAGAATTGTGCATGGACTCCTCATGGGGCGAAGTGTCATTCCCACTTAAGAAATTTGTGTTCATGCTAAAGAAGTACAACTCAACTTGCTTGCTTCATATGTGAATGTTTTCAGATAGCTTGTAGCTTGTCATGGAGTGCACTGGAGATTGTATTGTCTGGATCTGATAGTTTTGATTTAACTATGAAAATAAAATAATCCGGTGTCTTGGTTAAGCATATAAAATGAAATAAGGAATAAAACAATAAGAAACTAATGCAACTGTTGCTACACTATGACCCCATTCCTGGAAAGGTTTACTATATGTTTACATTTACGTGTACAAGTACTCCTCTTGACTTTAGTGGAGCTACTCATGTGCTTACGCATGAGTCAGCCTTTGCAGATTGGGCCAAAGTGCATATTAACTTTATGGTAACTTTGGTTATCAGGAATCTTGACACAAACACTAATGCTAAATTTTGAAGAATTTGTGGTTATTGCTGCTAACGTATTGCAATAACATCGGTCCATATCCATGCATACAAAGACAAGAGTCCCTGTGCTGTGGAGCTCACAATATAAGAGAAGCAGCATAAGTAGGAAAGGAGAAATGACACACTCAAAGTATTTAAATCATCAATACTCCAAATGCTGACCCACCTTGCCAGTTGGCTAACTTCTTGTGGACACCATGCATGAAGTGAGTTTTGAGGGGAAAACTTCAGCTGAGAGCCTACTCATGCCATTAGCCCCAGTCATTGATCTGATCATTTAGTATGAAGTAAGAAAAATGTGTTGGATCCTCAAAGGCCAAATCCTGCAATTTTGGTAATTAAAAATTCATAACGAAGTCAATGGGAATTTTGGATCCGTGTGGAATGTGGATTCAGCCACAGGTGATACTTTTGAAAGAGCTTGTTGCGTCCACTTTAAACTGTGATGTTTACTATTTAGTTAATGGAAAATGTACTCCAAATTTTAGTTTTACACTTGTTCATTTAAAAACAGAAAATGGGAGAGAACTTTGAAGTTTTAACAGACACAATATGAATCAACTTCACAAGTCCTACATTTCCTTTTAAGGTGTCAGGTCGTCCTGGACTGAAATGACATAAAGAATGGAAGCGCCAACAACAAAATTAGATATACAAAACTTAACTTGTGCCTTTCCTTCTAAAATGAGTTCTGTTACCCATCTACAAGCACGTGGATATAATTACAATGCAGTATTTTAAACAAAAAAAGGACAATCCCTCAAAGCAAACTACCTCCAACTCAGCCTCTGGGCAGGTGTTTGCTTGAAATTGCCTTCTAGGATCCCTTCAAAAGTTAACCATTTGGACTGTATTCAGGTAGGGATTGCAGGCAATTCCAGTAAAATCTTTCCAATGGTATCCAGAGCTACAGATAGATCTAAATGTATGATCATGAGCCACCTCTTTTATTACTAGGGGATATCATGCTTGATTAAAAGGAGTTTAGCCTTGTGTGCGGCGGAATCAAAAAAGCTAACAGAGTGTTGGGAATCATTGAAAAAGGGATCGATAATAAGACCGAAAATATCATATTGCCTCTATATAAATCCCTGGTATGCCCACATCTTGAATACTGCATGCAGATGTCGCCCCATC